GAGGGGAGACTGCTGTACACCACAGGGAAGAGAGTGGGGGGAGGAGGAGATGGTAGGTTGCTGAACACTAGAGAGAAGGGAGGAGAGAAAGTCAGGTGATACGAAACCCACAGAGGGGGAAAGAGGAAGAGGAGGAGGAGGAAGAGGAGCATCAAAAATGAGGAAGAGGAAAACCGAAGGGTGCACGATGGTGGGGGAGGGGGGGGGGGCGCAGAGTGAAGGAAGATTCGCTGACCGGAGGACGAAGAGGCAGTGTGTCCTTGACCTGTGACTTGGAAGGACTGGAGAACTGTTTGTTCTTGGTCTCTTTCCTCACGCATTATAAGATTTTTTTACGGAAGTCTTGCTTGTTATTAGCATTATTATTATTTTTGTGCATCGTATTATTCATTATTTTTCATGGATTCATTTTATATACATATTCATTTATTTCTGCTTAGAAGATAAATAATATAAAATGAAGGAATTGATTATGATACTTCTACTCTTTTCGTAAGTATTTTACCACCATTTTCATCACTAATAGCAATCATGATTTTTCCTATTTTTTTTGTATGAAATTACTATATAAAGCTGTATCATTAACACTGAATGACCTGATTAGCTCGTTATCCGCTAACCGCTAACCTGAATCTTTTATCTCTTCAAAATGACAGTAGTACGAAAATTAGAAAAGTTAATAATGCATGTGACTTCGTTGGTTATCGATCGTTTCATCTGTGTGGTTCTTGATTGTCATTATCTTGCCATAAAAGTTTCTATTTCCGTGTATTGTTTTACCTTTGTTCTCTCGTTTGCCTGTCTCCCTGATTCAAATCGTGAGTTGCGTATTAGAAATAATGTATAAGAAATGTCGTTATTTTCATCGTTATTTTTTATTGCTCATTATCAATCATAACTATTACACGGCAACCAAAGTCATCGTTGGCAGAAGAACCATAATTATAATCATTACCAGACACCACCAAAGTCATCCCCATATTATTTTCACAACATTAAAATCATAAATATTATCATCTTTATCATTATTTAGCATTACAACATCCGTATTTCAGGGTCGTTGTGGGGAATGCACACCGTCCCCGCCCTCTCCCTAAGCTTCCCTCGCTAAGTCAACAATATCTTAACGTGTGAGTAATACTTATATTTTTTGTTTAAGTGTGTTGGTTGTTATTATTGTAGGAATGGATATGTAGATGTACTATATTTACCTTTAAGTATGTATGTTTTTTTCATACTTATGCACATCCGCATATACGCACGGCTACACAGTCATTCGTGCGTATATATATTCGCGTACATCTTATTGTGTAACTGTCACTTGTCTCGTTGATATCGTTATGCTGACACGAGTTATAAATTTGCGGAGATGTAAGGATATTGATAGGTAGATGGACGATTAAACATTGACACAGACAGACATAACTGATAGATAAACATCCAAATATCACCAAACAATAGATAGGGGGAACAATGGATATAGACGGAATGAAAGACATAATACATAAAAGATGATTGTCATAAATTTACTCCTAAAATATTAAAAAACCGCATATTTCACTCTTTCTTCCTGTTTATTTTAACAATAAAAACAACAACTTTCATCTAATGACTTGTTAGTTTGAGAGTACTGTTCCTTTCACTTTCTCCTTGATAATTGTATTTACTTGTATTTCTTACCTGCAGTTTTAAGGCCATTGTTCTCTCCGGCATTGAGTGAAGATAAATAACTAGAGTGATAGGAAACCGAGGAAAATACTTTCGGAATTTATAATGTAGTTATGATCTGTAAAGATTTAGTCTTGATATATATATACACACACACACACAATGTATATATATATATATATATATATATATATATATATATATAGATAGATAGATAGATAGATAGATAGATAGATAGATGGATATAGATATAGATATAGATATAGATTTACATTTATATGACATATGTATAAATATAAATACATATACATATAAATTTAATCTATTCTTACCTTTTAAAGTGCCCCACACTTATCGAAATTCGTATTATTTTTTATAGGTTGTGCATTATTTTCTCACTTATTTATCACCCTCCGTTTGACTTTTTTTCAATGATAGTGTGTGTTGTGTTGAGTGGTCTGTATATTTTCTTATACACTTTTTTTCAATACTGAAAAAAACACATAATTCCTACAATTTCTTCCAGCGCCGATTACTCAAACATTATTCCCAATGCCTCATTTCCCCAAATTATCCCTTTCTTCTTTTATTCTCCCTTCCAGCGCTGAGTATCCTTTCTCCAAGATCGTAGGTGTGTTTCGTATCGTGGACGGCGACTCCTGCAGGTGTATTCCTCGGTCTCGCCCTTGTCCTGTCGAGATTATGGAAGATTCGGTCTTTAAGGAGAGGGTGAGACATAAAGTGATTCATGAGTGGCTCGTTCGGTGGTTGGGTCTCGGGTTTAACGCGTGATTGAAAGGGGTTTGGTTCGTGTTCGCTAAGTGGTTCGCAGATGGTTCGGTTCACTCTTGGTTCTTGAACGAAATAGAAGTAGTGGAGGAGGGGGGGGTGAGAGAGAGAAAGAATGAAAGTGAGAGCGAGTGAGAGTGGGATGGAGAGAGAGAGAGAGAGATTGAGAGTGAGTAAATGAGAGAGAGTGCACCTGTATATCTGTGTAATATGAAATGATGTGTAAATGCAGACAAGAATATATATTTATAGTTCTAAATATTCTAATATACGTTTCGACAGCCTAAACACTGAACCATATTACGAAAGTAAACAAGCTTTTAATTTCAGTTCATAATGAAAATATACCACCTGTATGGTATTTTTTTTTTTTTTTTATTATCACATTTCCCAAGACACGCGCATATTCTATGGCTTTACATCCCCATCAGATTTATCATTCTTGTTCTACGTGTTCGGAATTTTATAAGAAAAAAACTATAAAAAAAAACTGTCAAAATAATTTTAATATCATACTAGAAACAAGAGCAAATTCAGTGGCATATAGGTGAAAATATAGCGGGTGTAACACTGGAATTTCTAGGGTCGCTGGAATTTCATTTTTCAATGTCATTTCATGAAGGAGAACCACGTTTCTTATATATTGGCATAGTATCTACACGGAAGTGTTTTACCATTCATGTATTCATACATATGATTATTTCTTTTCACTCTCTCTCGCGAACAGTTTGTAAACACGCAGAGATAATGATCACAACTCATTTATCTTATAAAAATTCTCCCTCCGCCGCAGGGATTCCCTTGCCCGTTCCTGACGCGGTACTGCTGTCAGCGGGAGACGCTCATCGACCTGTCAGGGGCTATCGACAGGACCCTAAAATCGACCGACCACCAGAACCGAAACTCGACAGCTGGTGACGTCGACAGGACAAGACCTACTCATCTGGTCGCTTCGAATTCGAGAACATCGATCGAGAAGAGCAATAATAATGATAATGGAATACGAGCGGTTTCGCTATCGACAGACGTGTCAAAATCACCAACTCCTAACGTTCCAAGTGTTTCGGATGTTTCCAGTGTTTTAAACATCACGCAGGTTTCAGCCTTTCCGGATACTTCAGAAACCTCGACGGTGAGTCTCACTCACTCCAACGTCGAGAACAAGGCCTCGGGAAACAGCGGCCGCCGAGCGAGACCGAAAGCTTGCTCATGTACAACCCACGACCAATGCCTCGCGTGGTGGTCGGAGCTGGACGACGCCCCCGAGGTCAAGGTGAGGACGAGCCTACGCTGCGAGGTGCCAGGTCAGGTCACGTGCTGCTTCGGCCGCATCGTGCCCCCCCGCCACCATAAATCTCGCGACCCGACGCGTTCCGGACACGACGTGCGACACCCATTCATGACAAGATGGAGGCCGCTTGCGAATGCGTGGAAGAATATAATTTCGTGGTTTAACGGATGAGTGAAGGTAGTAGCGAAGACTTGTTTTCTTGCCATAATTTCGGCGCTTATTTTATCCTTGTAATCTGTAAGAACTTGAGAATCT